CTGGTGACCAACTTAAATATAGAGGGAAGTCTGGGCAACAGCAACCGTGAGACCATCATGTTCACTGTGTGACATAAGGCAGACAAATCAGACAGTAGGATTGAAGTCTTGGACTTCAAAAATGCAAATTTCAACAAGCTGAGGTCACTAGTAGGGCAAGTGCTGCAGGACCAGGGACTGAAGGCGAAAGGTGTGCATGAAGAGTGGTTGTTCCTTAAGGACACAATCCTTTAAGCACAAAGTAAGTCCATTCCCATGCAGAGAAAAGGTAACAGAAGGACTGGGAGGCCCTCTTGGCTAACAGGGAAATCACGGTCCTCTTAAGAAAGAAGAAAGAGGCTTATAAACAACGGAAGCTTGGGGTGGGCCCCAAGAAGGACTATTCCACAATGGCCCGCATTTGCAGGGAACAGCCAAGACAGGCTAAAGCAGCGACCAAACTTAGATTAGTAATGAGAATCAAGGAGAACAAGAAGTCCTTCTTTAGGTACATAGGGAACAGGAGGAAAACAAATGGGAGTGTGGGGCCATTGCTCAACAACTCAGGAGAGCTGGTTACCAGCACCCAGAAGAAAGCTGAACTCCTGAATGACTACTTTGCCTTGGTCTTTCACCAGACCAAGGGGAAAACCACACCAGGTAGAGTAGAGGATGAGCACGGTAGGAATAACTGCCTTCCTACTATTTCTGTAGAATTGGTGTATTACAAATTAATAAAATTAGAAGTATACAAGTCAGCAGGACTGGATGATCTTCATCTGAGAGTGCTGAAGGAATTGGCTGAAATCATTGCAGAACCCCTGGCAAAACTCTTCCACAACTCATGGTGCTCTGGAGAAGTCCCTGAGGAATGGAAGAGGGCAATGTTGCACCCAGCCACAAGAAGAACAAGAGGGAGGACTCAGGTAACTATAAGCCAATCATCCTAACTTCCATCCTAGGGAAAATCGTAGAAAAGTGCTTACCGCTACACTAGGGGAGTACATCAAGGGCTCGGTGAGCAACTGTTCACCAGGGCACCCGAGGGGAAAACCAGGAGTAATGGCCACAAACTCCTGGAAGATTGATTCAGGCTCAACATTAGGAAAAACTTCTTCATAGTCAGGGTGTCCAAACTGTGGAATAAGCTCCCTTCAGAGGAGGTGCAATCACCTACCCTGGAAATCTTCTAGAGGAGACTAGACAGTCACCTTGCTGTGGTCACCTGATCCCTAGTTATCTTTCCTGGTTACTGCAGAGGGCTGGACCCGATGATCTTCCAAGGTCCTTTCCAGCCTTACAACCAATGAATCTATGAAAAGTGCCAGCCTTCCTTGTACAGAGCTAGGTAATTTCAGCCCATTGTCCCTGAAGCATTGTAAGCCTCTGGGGTAAAAAATCTGGCTTTGGAGGAGTTTGGGGTTTTGGTGGTAAAGGGGGCAGGATTTGAAAGTGCTGCATTCACAAAGACAATCAAAATCATTATTCCATTTTATACAAGGGGAAACTGAGGCATGAAGAGGTAGTGATTTAATCAAGGTCATATACGAAGTTCAGTCACAGAACCAGGAAGAGTGCTAGGTCTCTTGAGTCTCAGTCCACCAGGCCACACAACCTCCTTAGTAAAATAGTATCAGCAATTTCTTGTTATGCCTTCTACCTTCAGAGAACTTCTCCCTCCACCAAAGAAAAAGCATGTGGTTTGGTTTCCTCCTACAACACTAAAGAATAAGATTCTTCAATGGTGTCTGCAGAACTCTCTCCCCTTTCTCCAGATATTCATATATTCCCCATCACGGCAGCATGTTGAACAGTCTCTTAAACTGTGACATGTACATGCACACACACATTAAGGAGAATTTCTCTTATCCCCTTAAAAGTGGTGGAATTGAAAAGAGCTTGACCTTCTTGGTATCCCCCCCACTACTGGCTCTCAAACCCAACTAAGTATGGGTTTCTCTCTTTATCACTTACAAATGCTTTGCTTCTTCCATTTTCTTTCTTTTTTTCTTTCTTCTTCTGTTTTCCCTTACCTGCTCACTGCTTCCCTCTCCTTCCCTCCCCACTGATCTTCCTCTTTTTCCACACCCTACCCATAGATGTTTCACTCTTTACCTTCTTTCTCTATACATCATCATATGCCTTTTTTCCCCATCTCTCTCCACTGCAGAATAGGCACTGTTTTATATACTTCTTGGGAATTGCATTTCAAGCTTTCTTCTTCCTTCCTTCTCACCATAATTTTTATCTTATTTTGGCTTCCATTCCACAGAATTATGCACTACAGGTTGAGCTCTTAGTTACATCTGTCTTCTATATCTACGTACTCTCTTTTCTAATCCCATCCCACAGAGGATGTAGTCATCAGGAGTTTCATATTATCATCTCTCCCTTTTCTTCCAGGATAACATTCTCAAGTGAGGACTGTCTTTCCCAGCCCCCTTTCTCTCCCACCTCCTCCCCCATAATTCTTGTTCTATTGAAGCAAGCTCCAACTCCTTGTAATGTCACATAGGCATCACACATTTAGGTTATGAAGAGAGATTGCATATTAGAGCTGACTGGAAAACGTTCAATGAAATGTTTTTCCCAAAGAAAAAATGCTGTCAAAACCAAAATATTTCATAAATTTAATCAAAGTTCTCTTGGGTTCAAGAAGAATGAGAGAGATGGATACCTTCAAACTGAAAACTTGTTCTTTTCAATCTGAAAAGGGACATTTCAAGAGATTCTATTTCATGAAAGCATCATGGAAGGCAGGCAATTTTTGAAACCTTGTACAACAGTGTGTAAAATATTATTGTTATTTCCTACTCAGTATTTTTTCCTACTCACTTGTCCAGAAAGGTAAAGGATGAAGGCACCTGTGTTGCAGTCTCAGTTCCATGGCATTCAACTCACAGACCAATTAAGTAATCATTTCTGAGTCAGGGTCACCTCATTTGACCTTTTATCTAAATCTGTATGGTCCAACTTTCTCCTGTCTGTTCTTCCCCAGGCTGCTGTAAGTCTCCCACATATGAGGCAATGCTGCTAACTTTTCCTGTTTTATCAGAAGTCTCATGACATTTGTGGTTTTGCTTACAGACTCATGCAATGTACATCTCAGCTTTATTTAATGAAAAGGTAATAAGAAGGAAGCTAAGCCTTCCCCATGCTGTCTGCAATGCCTAGCAACAGTGCAGGTGGTAAGAGGGGAATAGCTAGCACTAGGTGGAGATTTTAGGCAGGAAATAAATGACAATGAATAGAATCATATGCATCCCCTACATATTTGAGTGGTAAAAAGAAAAGGAGCAAGCAGTGTATCATCATCCCACATAAGACTTCTGGTAAGAGGAGGGGAGGAAAAATGGAAAGGTGGAGGGAAATATCCTGCCCAAACCACTTTTCCATAAGCTTCCCACAGAGCTTGAGTGTGAGGAGAAAGGGACTTTGCCACAATATATAGTTTCACTGGATTATGAAAAAAAAATAGTAGGTATATATCAGGCAAGTGTGATGCAAAGAAGGTAGATTGCAAACAGGATGAATAATTAGGTACCAGCATTTGGCTTTTTTTAAACCTATTTTAATATATATCTTAGCAATGCCAGAGCCATTAATATAAGCTAGAGACAGAGAAAGAGGGAAGAGTAACAGAAGTCTAGTGTGAGGATGTTGACAAGTGTAAGAAAGGCATAAGAAGCAGGACTTCAAAAAAATATTAGGAGGGAAAGCAGAGAGAGAAAGGGGGTGGGGGGGTGTAAAGTTAAAGGCCTCTTTCTCCCCACATGCATACAAAAAGAAATTAAATTCCTATTGTATGTAAAGGTATATGTAAAGGACCAAGCTATATGTAGGAGTATGAAAATTACAGCAAGACAATACTGGAACAAACCTATTATTTATTGACCCATAGGCATCTTTTTTATTGTACTGATTTCTAAAAGGGATTTTATTTTCATTTTCAGGGGTTGCTACCTGATTGTAAGTGCCCTTCCAAAAATACATTGTAAATAACCATATTGCTTTCCATTTAACTTCTACCTGAATCAATTGTCACATTTTTCATAATTCAGCAATTGGATTCATATCATGCCAGAGTTGTTCATCAGATCTTTTTTTAATACCTTCCAGCTGACTTTCCAAACATGAACTTGTTTTACTTAAGCAATAACGATGTCTTGAACACAACTTTCTGGAGGCTTATTGCAGATTTCAAGTACATTGTAAAGGAGAAGATTAAAAGGTTGAGTGATCTCAATCAACAGAAAGTGTACTATAAACTTGCCAAACTGTACCAGATAGAGTATTTTTTATAACCTGCAAATAGAAATTATAAGTAGAGAACATGAATATTCCATCTTACACTGGAAACTAACAAAAATGTACACAATTATGCAACTGTAAATATAGGTTAATTTAACTGTGCTGCTTAATGTGAAATACTAATAATTGCAAATACATATAATTGCTTCTGTTTTTTGAAATATGAAAAAACCCTATTGATGCTTACTTTGATTTCATCAGGCCTCAAAGAAAGAATGGAGTTTAACTAATCAATGGCCTGATTTAAAGGAAAAACATTTCCAGATTTCTATTCCGACTGTCCAAATTAATATCCAGCAAAATATAAGATGATCTCTAATAATTAAGACTGGACTCAAGAATAAGTGTTCTTATTGTAGTACATCTTTTTGTGTGACATTGACTGTTTCTCCATGGGGGGCACTCTATCTCCACATTACATTAAACAGACATGTAGTACCTCTCCCCCGACTACTCAGACTGATGACTTCATAACTTCAGTTTCTCCTCTTAGTTTCTAATCGTACTCCTAGCAAAGAGTTAAGTAGCTGCATAGTTGAAAACATCTGGACTCAGCTCAGTCACTTCCTTATGGATCCTGGATAATGTACTTTATCTCTCTCAAAGAGCTTTTAACAGCCCTCTTTTCTTCCACCCCTTCCATGAAGACTCACTTGAAGCCTATTGGTTTGGTTTTAAAAAGCCAAAGAGTCCTCCTCAGCATCCCTTACCTTATGATGACAAACATGACCAACGAGTTGCCCACTAAGCCAACCACAAAGACCATGGAGTAGACAGCGGTGATGATAATTGGGATAGCTGGGGAAATGTTGGTGTGGTTCTGCTGCAAGTCCTCGTAAGCATCACTGGCATTGTTGTCATAGTCGGCCCAGCCCAGAAGCTTGCTGCTGCTGGTGCTGGGAAGGAAGCAGGTACCTGGGGAGCAGGTAGAGCCTGGCTCTTCACGAAAAATTTGTACCGGGGACCCCATGAGGACCACTACAGGCAGAGAAGAGACGTGGACAAGAGCGGAGGCTGAGTAAGTCAAATACACTATAAAGAGACAGGAGAGGGAATGAAACAGAACATGAAAATACTGACAGGGCATTAAAAGATGCTAGATTTCAAATTTGTGGAGTGGGGAGTAAGGATGGGAGGTTTATTTTAGTTAGCACCAACTTAAGCGAATCATATTGAACAGAACATCTGCATTTTTAAAATCCTTTGGCCGTTTAATGCAACAGATGAATACTAATAAATGCTACACAAGATGTTTGGCTAATGTTTTGCTCCACTCACAAGATTACACTTTAGGAACAAACAGCAGAGATACCTTATGCTCTAGAAATAGTTTAGGTCCAGTCCTCTACCTTGACCCTCCATTCCCCTGTCCCCATTCCATAAATCAAACATAATCCTAATCACTGGACTTTCTTACTTCAGCTACCCTGAAGAACAGTGAAGGGAAAAACCCTACAACCTCCCCTGCCCCCATTCCCAATTTGCTTGCCATTTTCCATAAGTCTTTTCCCTTCAGATGCAAGTTGGGCTTTATTTTTAATTAGAAAAGATATAGTAATAAAAATTACCTCTTTCTGGCCTGGAAAAGGAGCCGTCCCCAGAGAAATGGTCTTAGAAGTATAGACACATCCTTTTACTTGTTGGAGGCATCACTGATCTTTTAGGACTTCTGAAACCGGAGCATCTGCATCTCTGGAGAGGTAGGAACGCACTGGAAGTTGAGCAGAATCCCAGGCATGAGCTCCCAAGTAGCGGCAGGGGGAGAG